CCAGCATTTGTTGCTTGCTGTTCTGTTAGAAAGTCTTAAGAGAGAGAGTGACTGAGAGGGATGGATGTGTAGAGACAAGGCTAGGCCTTCACAGGAGTTGTGCTGTTAGAGTGAGCAGAGAAGTGGAGGTGGGCTAGCTCACATGGTTAAGTGCTAGTCCACTTAACCCAAAGGGTGGTAGTTCAGACCCGCTCAGCAGGACCTCTGAGGTCGGTCCTGGAGATCTGCTGTGGAGTGGTTCTCTCTGCTCACATTGGGCACCAGGAGTCAGAAGTGACTTGGTTACAGCTCTGAAAATAACAAAACCAGCCCAGCATTCATTGCCATCGGGTTGGAACTGACTGACTCAGAGCTGACCCTCCAGTGTGTTTTCAGAAGCTGTGAATTGCGTGAGAGATTGCCAGTGTTCTCTAGCTGGGCCCCTGGTGGGTTTGAACTGCCAGAGACATGATGTCTTTGGGTTAGCAGCCCAGTTGTCTATGGACTGGGTCACCAGAGCCCCCTAACAATAGATAGAAATATACCTGGATAAGCACTTGAGTCTTAGACCTTCAAATGGTTTACTGGCTAAAGAACACATGAATAGCCACACCCATAACAAGAACAGTAACCAGAAGTGAATATGGGTGCAGGAAGGAATTGGTAGGATGGCAGAAGGACAGTTTAGTTGTCTGCTGAAGACACTGACTGAGTACAGAGGCAAAATGTAATGATGATTTAAGGAAAGCGAGGAGACTGTGGGCACGTAAGGGAGGGAAGAACATAGGATCTTTATTTTTACCCGAGGGAAGCCAGAGGATACGGCAACTGCTGCTAGTAGAGGGGCTAGTACATCGTGGGAGCTTGTAAACTATTCCTTCTGACTGCTTCTGTTTGCCTGGTGAATTAGCAGTGAAGATGGAGGGAGATATTGTTGGATGTTTGAAGACAGGGTGGGCCGTAAAAGCCTGACATGGCCAAGGAAATCCATTTGTCTGAAGCTGGGTGGCTGCTGGTGCTGTACCCTCCACCCCCTTTCGCGTCCTCCCTCTGTCTACCTGTTGAGCTCCTTTCTTCTCTATACTGTAAGATCAGTTCTCTTGGCTTATTTGATCTCCTAAGGTGAGATAAACTCGTTAATCAAACTCACTGACCTGAAGTTGAATCTGACTTTTAGTATTCCTATCAGGCAGCAAAGAAATAGCCTACAGGATTTCCAAGACACCTCGTCCTTGTTCCTAGTTCCTTGGCTTCAACTGTGAGCAGAATCTGCCTTGACAACACATAATGACGATGGTGGACAGAGTTGGACATTCAGTACTTGTTTGCTGAATGACTGAGAAAGCACTGCAGTTGCCCAGGTGTGGGATAAAAGGGTGGTGGTGATGGAGAGAATGCGGATGTCGGTCAGGTACTGTGTATGCCCCCACCTAAGAAACTGAGAGCAGAGGGGATGTCCTAATGCTAATTAATTCTGTGTTGTGTGCTGGACCACACTGAGAGTCATTCCCATTTTAAAGATGGCAAAACTGAGCTTTAGTGTGGTTTAAGTAATCTGCTCAGGAGTAAAGTAGCAGAACTGAACTCCTGCTGTATCTGTCTGATGCTTTTCTTTATCGTCCTGAAGAATAACGTAGACGTGTCCGTCCCTTCTCCTGAAGCTGTGTCAATATTAGCCACCCCTCTAGTTGATTTTCAGTGGGTTGAATTTCAGATGGTTTCTCATTTAAGCAGAGATACCTTTTTGGAGATGAGTTTGTTGTTGTTACGTGCCGTCGAGTCGCCTGCGACTCATAGCGACTCTATGTACAACAGCCCTACACTCT